CCCATAGCACCAACAATCATATGATGGCTATCATGTGTGTTTCTGTAATTTTTGGTGGAACCACGCTGCTACATCCTGGGCTCCTTTATTAACACAGGTATCATCAAATCACAGCTCGAGGTTACATTCTTACCTTCTTAGTGGATTTCCATCCAGTTTCAACACTTGCAAGTTAGCTTAGTTAGCTTAGTTAGCTTCAAGTAATCCCTGCAGAAACAAGCATCCATAAATACAAGATCCAGCTAGATTGAGAAACATATATACAATACAACTCATGAGCAGGAAGAGTTGTCCAGAACATCTATATTATAGAACAGCGTGCGGAAATAGATACTAGATACATGAAATAAAAGACTAAAAATGAGGAAAAAAAAACATACCAGCTCTGCTTTTTTTTAGCATAACATACCAGCTCTGCTAGGAGTGCTGTTATATTGCTGTCTGACAGATCAAGCTCAATGAGAGCAGTGAAATTCTTGATGCCCTGTTTATGTGTAGTTTAGCCGCCTCTGCCGCGGCACACACCTGATCACGCGGACGCCAATGCCGCCACGCTCCATCGGGAGAGGCCCATCACGCCACCAAAAGCACGCCTGAGCAGTGGTAGGTTCTTGTTTAGTTTTGGTAATTGAGTGACAATTTAGGTGGACTAATATTGTTTATGTGAGAGTACACAGGTTATTAGTCCAAGGTACATGTGTGTGAGCAATATGAAAGGATCAAGATGCCTAAGAGAAGGGGTGAATTGGGCTTCTCTAAAATTCTTGCGGAAATTTAAACCCTACACTTAGCCCATGTTCACTCCCTTATGCCTAAAAGTGTGTCTATGATTCTACACACAAAAGTTTTGCACCATAGGTTCCAATCCTACACTAGCATGGCAATTCTAGGAATGTAAATACAAGAATTGAAATGCTCAAAATAAATGCTTAAAGTAAAGAGTAGAAAGAGGAACGCGGCTGAAAGCATCTAAGCCCCTAGTTGGGCTTCGATGATTGACGACGACATAAATTACTATGACTAACATATGTTTTGCAGAAACAAGTTTGAGTTAGGTCATGGTAATGGTGATTGTTTGGGCACTATGGTTTTCATGCCCATATCGATGGAAATCGTTTCGGTTTTCAAAGGATTGGCGACAAGATTAAGGACGGACTAGTTCTAAGTGCGGTTTGGCGTTGGAGAGACACTTAGAGTAGTTTAGGACTTTGTTTTTTCTTTGGCCGTACTATTAAGGGGGGCATGAATGGGTAGCTTGACCTAGGTGAGACTAATGGCTTTGGTGTGGTGCACACTTGTCAAACTTAGCACTAGGTAGCTCAGGTGAAGCCCAAAGATCATTTGGACTTCGTTCAAGAAGCGTCGCGATCCAGAATGAAATGAGGCATGTTTCATTGACTGGACGCTGTCCTGGATGATGCCGCGCATGTCGGGGAAGTGGAAATCCCGGCGAAGACGATGTAGATTGCGTTGTACGCCTTCGTGGCCGTCCTCGTGCACCGCGGCGAGGATTTCCTAGAGCAGCGGCGATGTCGGTGGGATGTAGAGGCGGCCGTCGTAGATGACCAAGCCGTCGAGGATGGTCCACGGCGCAGCGCGGGTGCCCGCGGTGATCTCGTCCTTGATGGCGACGAGGGCGGGGTCGGAGGCGTGGGCCTGGCGTAGGCGGTCGATGAAGTCAAAGCGCGGGCCGGAGACGGCAAGGATGGCCCAGTCCTCGGTGTCACGGCGAGAGAGAGCGTCGGCCACGGTGTTCAGGACGCCAGGTTTGTACTCGACGACGAAGTCGAAGCCCAAAAGCTTGCCCATGCAGTGATGCTAGGGGATCGTGAGAGGCACTGGTCGAGGAGAAACTTCAAGCTGTAGTGGTCCGTCCGCATCGTGAATCGATGGCCCCACAGGTACGGGCGCCAGTGGCGGATGGCGTGGACGAGGCCGATGAGTTCCCGTTCATAGGCGGTGAGTGAGTGGTGGCGCAGCGCGACCGGGCGGTTGAAGTAGGCGATGGGGTGCTTGTCTTGGAGGAGGACCGCCCCAAAGCCATGTGTCGACGCGTCGCACTCGACGACGAATGGTCGGCCGAAGTCCGGGAGAGCCAACACCGGAGCCGAGGTGACCGCGGCTTTGAGGGCCGTGAACGCCGCGGTGGCCTCGTCGGTCCACGTGAACCCCTCCTTCTTCAGAAGCGCCGTGAGGGGAGCCGCAATGACGCCGTAGTCATGGACGAATTTGCGGTAGTACCCTGCGAGGCCCAAGAACCCCCGCACCGTGCGCGCCGAGCGGGGTTGGGGCCAGTCGAGGACCGCCTGCACCTTGGCGGGATCCATGGCGACGCCTGCCTCGGAATTGACATGGCCGAGGTAGGAGACGGAGTCGACGCCGAAAGCGCACTTCGAGCGCTTGACGAAGAGGCGGTGTTGGCGCAGCATGGTGAGGACCGCGCGGAGGTGCCGGAGGTGATCCGCCCAGGAAGTGTTGTAGATGAGAATGTCATCAAAAAATACGAGCACAAACCGTCGGAGGAAGGGTCACAGAACGTCGTGCATGAGCGCCTAGAACGTGGCTAGGGCGTTGCACAGCCCGAACAGCATCACCACGAACTCGTAGAGGCCATCGTGGGTGCGGAACGCCATCTTGGCGATGTCGTCTGGCCTCATGCGGACCTAGTGGTAGCCCGAATGCAGGTCGAGCTTGGTGAAGAATTTGGCGCCGTGGAGCTCATCGAGCAGCTCGTCGACGACCGGGATAGGGAAGGCGTCCTTGATGGTGATGGCGTTCAGGGCACGGTAGTCGACGCAGAAGCGCCATGACCTATCAGCCTTCATGACGAGGAGGACCGAGGAGGAGAACGTTGAAGAGCTCCGGCAAATGAGCCCTTGGTCCAGCATGGCCGCACATTGGCGCTCCAATTCATCCTTGTGCAGCGCCGGATAGCGATAGGGCCGGACGGCCACGGGTTGTGCCCCCGGCACCAGGGTGATGCTGTGGTCGCGGCCTCGAGGTGGGGGTAGTCCGTGGGGCTCGGCGACGACGTCGGTGAAAGAGCCCACTGTGGTCGCGGTGATGCCGGGGGCTGCCGGCCTGCCAGGCCGTGCCAGCACACCTCGCGTGCGTGGCGCCTGAAGGTCAGCGTGCGCGCGCTGAAATCCCACACGATCGGGCCCAATGTGGCGAGCCACTAGGTGCCAAGGACCACGTCGTAGCCCGCGAGCGGCATGACGAAGAGGTCGGCGAAGAACATGTCGCCGCCGATGGAGAGCGTGGCCTAGCAGATGACGCCAAGGCACGCGACTCGTTCGTCGTTGGCCACCGTAGCCGTGAGTCAGGGTCGGCGTTGGAGGGGCAGCCCGGAGCGGTGTGTAGCGGCCTCGAAGATGAAGTTGTGGTTGGATCCCGAGTCGAGGAGGGCGGTGAGGGTCGTGTTGCCCAGAGCGACCGGGACCTGCATCATGTCGCTGAACGCCACGCCGGCGATGGCATGCAGGGAGTAGTGGGGCGTCTCCTCGGTGGTGTCGTCCCCGACGGTCTCGGAGGCCTCCACGTCGTCATCTTCCACCACGCCATCAAGGAGGAAGAGGTGCTTGCAGACGCGGTTGTGGCCCTGGGTGAATTTCTCGTTGCAGTTGTAGCAGAGGCCGAGGCAGCGCCGCTCCTCCTGCTCCGCCTGAGTGAGACGCTTGATCGTCTGGCCCTCCACCGTGACCGTGGGCTGGGCGACCGCTTTGGGCGCTGGCGGCGCCGGCAGCGCGAGGCGAGGCGCTAGCGGAGGAAGAAGACCTCGGGGCGTCGCTCGCGGTGGAGCCGCCGCATACTGCTCCTGGAGTTCAAGCTTGCACGCCAGGCTCATGACCCCGGCGAGGGTTTGCGGATTGTGAACCTCGACATCGAGGCTGAGAGGCGGCTGAAGTCCTCCGGTGAAGAGTTGCACGCGTTGAGCTTGTTCGAGCGGTCCCGCCCGGGGGAGGAGCGCTTGAAAGTGATCCTGGTATCCTGCCACGGTGCTGGTGCGCTTGCACTCGGCCAGCTCGTAGAGAGGGTTGAAGCGCAGCGGTGGCCCGTAGCGGAGGTGAAGCAGATCCTTGAAGCGGCGCCAGGATGGGATCCCCTCGTCTTGTTGAACTTGGATGTACCACATCTGTGCGCCGTCCTTGAGGTTGTAGGAGGCCATCCACACCTTCTCCTCGATGATGCGCTGTTGATGGAAATATGACTCACATCTGTTAATGAAGATCAGGGGATTGGTCTTGCCGTCATACCGCGGAAAGTCCATCTTTTGGAATCGCGGGGGCCAGTCCTGATGATGCTCGCTGGTGCCCGATCCGCTGGCGGAGGAGGACGATGGCGGTGGCTTGGGGTCGGCGGCCAAGTGCTGGATCGCCTAGGAGTTGGCCTCGACCGAGGCCTACAGCGTCTTGACGGCGGCGGCCAGGGTATCCAAGGTGGCCTTGAGGCCGGCATTGTCGCCCATGGTGGCCGAGCGGGGCGTGGGGGACGACGTGGAGGCAGAGTGCGGCGGCGGCGGAGAAGTGGAACGAACAGGCAAGGAACGCCGGGATCGTGATACCAGGTTGTCAAGGGCCTCAAGGCCTAGGGTAGGAGGACCTTGACTACGTAGATCGTAGTCGCGATCCATGACTTAGGGTGAGGTTTTGCCCCTCTTCGCCTAGCTTGTTTGGAGAAGAGAGAAAGAGAGATTAGATGATAATATATTGCTTAATTCCTTCCTAGTCTGCGTACAAGACTATATAAGCCTTGAGGCTAACAAACTCAGAGCTAATTGCTCCTCAATCTAAGGAACCGACCTATTATTTCCATCTAGCCACTAGTCAGTTCCACCTGACCCGCGGGCGACGGCGCGGCTGCTGCGCGTTCTGCGGCCCGGCGTACGTCGCGGGCGCGACGTTTCCTTGTGTAGGAGCGGCCCCACATGACAACATGATACATGTGCATATATATAAATATATAAATAGATATTCCTCGGATGACAGCATCTGCTCAGACTATTTGGCAGCACACCAGCTCTTTGCACACTTGGCATCAACAGCCAGGTCGACTTTCAAAATGTTGGTTCCGTAGAAAGGTTTGGACATACACTCCACCACTATAGCCTTGGCCACCTCAGCAGATTCTGAAGGCCCTTCCAGTATCAATTCATCATGCACCTGACATGCAAACATTGCAACCAATGTTATCCAAATGATGTTATCGAATAGTTATCTCCTGTGGAGTTCCTTGCTCTAGAGCCAGCTAATGTGTGAGTTCCTCTCTAGTGGTCTCGGGTCAAGTGTGAAAAGTGAGAGACACCATTAGATGTAAAAGGGTGTGTGTGGCTCTATGGGTTTCTAAACCCACTCCTTTATTCTTCTTAATATAATGATACGCAGAGAAAAAAAAATTATTGCACCTTCTTGATGGATGGATCTTCAAAGAAAGGAGCAAACTCCATCAGGACACCCCTTCCACCATCTAGAACATCAACCCAAATGCAAGTTTTGCCATGTCCAAAATCAGCTGCCTGTACATCAGAATTTGCTGAATAGATGCTAAAGCATATTACTTCTCCATGACCAACTGGTGTCTTTTCTTTGGCATCAATATCTGCTACCTGCAGAAACATTATACTCAAATAACTACACTGGAGTTCACTTTTGAGCATTGCTTGCCATCATAGAAGTAGACAATGAGCATATTAGCTCACTAAACTAAGGAAGCTGATACAGACTACAACCTTCAGCATTACATATGATATCTGACTTCAACTCATGCATTGCCTTTGGCAGGTTTTGATACATTAATGAGGAACATATACCAAACACATGGTTCAGCATACAGAGCCCCAGGATTTAAAATCTATCACCATCAGAAGTTTCTTGTAACAACTATGGAATTGGAACAAACACTAAAGTAATTCATGACAGATGACAACTCACAGTAAAAAGATATCACTCAGCTAAACCTAATACTTACAAAAAATGGAACATTTTGTGTCTTTGTGAAACAAATGGTTTTGCCTAGATGAATAAGGATGGACAACCTGACCACTCCATAGGAGCAAATAAATCAAGCAACCAAGCAGGGTTCCTTTTTACCTCTGTGTGACATGCATGAATAAAGCTCTTGTACTTTGTAGTGAGCAGTTTAACAATGCTCCTAGCTGACTCGATATTGTCAACTACCAAAACTTTGTCGTAGATGCTAGCAAGTGCCTTCCGTGCTTTTAAAGATTCCTCAGAGAAGGCTGCTTTAGTTGGCAAAGGTGAAACCACCTTTTTTACCACAAGTTTCTTCTCCTTGTTGTCATCACCATCATGAACTTCATCATCAAGCTCCAAAATTACCTCTGTATTAGGTTTATCAAGCAAAGGATCCTCTGCTGGTGCATAGTCACGCCAAGGAATCTCCACCTTAGAGGCTCTAGGCATGCTCAAACACTTGGGACTATCATTAACAACACTTATTGGAGCTGGCACTGATTGCACAGGCTGATTTACCATCCTATGCCTGACCAGTTCTCAATCATCACCACGTCTATTCATTGATTTGGATGATACACGATCTCTCAGGTTCTGCAAGTAAGGGTAGTTCAAACCCCTGCGATCTTCAGAGAGACCATCTTGTACATTTCCAGCCAATAGAGTGCTTCCCATATAGATGTTATTTGTGACATTGTTGGCAGTTTTGAGATAGAACAGCATCAAGGTCTCTTGAACCCATTCTTGTGTAATATTCCTCACGTTTAATTTGGGATAGAATTGAAGCTTGAAACCACTGCTTCCTCGAACTGCCACATCTGAGCTATGAGAATAGTCCTGCTCCTGCCTGTCAGTCAAAACGATTGCCAGAGTTAGAAATCACCAAGTAACATGAAATTCCTAAGTCCCTGAAAAATGCCTAAAGGGGAACATTTCAGAGTGTGAATAGATTGCAAGGTACAATGACAAGCTTAAGTGTACCACTATTAGATGGCAGCGTACAGATAGGTCAGAACAGAGCAATATCATGGGACACTAGGATGTGACACCGTGTTCCCTTGCCTAACACAGAAACCGGCACATCCTGTGATTAGTTGGCAGAGACTCTATTTACAGTGGCCAGGACATGGGGTTAATTAGTTGCAAATGAAAGAAGAGAGCTCCCGAGACAGTCTAAACCACAGCGGTAGACGCAAATCCACCTAGAACAGCACAAGCATCATTCCCGACCCGACACAGGCACACAGCTAAGCACCGCGTAGAGAACGCCCACTTCACATAGTCCGAAGACCGAAGGGGGCATTTTAACGACCTCCGAAGGCCACAACGAACAACGAATGACTCAAGGGAAAATTGGGTGCATACCATTGAAAGATCTCATCTTTTGCTATGTACCATCAAAAGATACATTCTTAGCTATGTAGCATCAAAAGATCACTTCTTTTGAAATTTACCATTTTCCATCAAGTTAGCTAACACCGGCTGCTCACCGTGAAGGGCTGCGTTATGTGGCCATCACCGTGATGCTGCCATGCTGCCGCCCAGGGATGCCCGCCTGTGGCTCCTCGAGGTCTGGCTGCATCAACGACTACGCGTGGTTGCATCGCGGCGGCGGCGACGGCTCCCGACCGTTAGCGTCGTTTGACAGAGGAGGCTCGTCGAGGATAGCACCGGATAGACCATGACGCTGCCGCTAGAGGACCAGAAGTCGATCCTGCTGGCATGGCGCGGACGACGACAAAGACCCTGCTCCTCCTCCGCCCCCGCCTGTCACCTCCTCTTCCTGTTCGTCGTCATCGTCCTGTCCTGCCTGCTGGCGAGCCCGGCTGAGCTGGAAGATGGGGAGCCCGCCTGCTGCTGTCCCGTCATTGGAAGAGAGGATGGGATTGGGTTCGGAAGTGAGGAGGTGGAAGTGGTAGTCTCTCCGCTCCGCAGCAGGGTAACGAGTAGGAAGGAGCTAGGAGGAAGAGTTGGAGAGGACCGCGTCTGGCCTGGCTGGGGTCGTCGGAGCTCAGCCATGGCATCCCTATGTGCTGAACCAAAGTAGCGAGCGACGATGGATAGCCTGGCCATAGCACAACAGTCCTTCACGGTGAGCAGCCGGCGTTAGCTAATTTGACGGAAAGTGGTAAATTTCCAAAAGAAGTGATCTTTTGATGCTATATGTAGCCAAGAGTGATCTTTTAATGTTACATAGCAAAAGATGAGATCTTTCGATGCTATGCATCCAATTTTCCCATGACTAACACGAAATAAGAGCGATTCGGTGCCACGGCAACTACCTCCTGCATCCGGAACTCGCCGGCGGCGGCGAGGCGAAGGACGACGACGACGACAGCCATGGGGGCGCCGCCGAGCCGTGGCGCCGCAGCAGGGGCCCCGGCGCCACCTGCGCCACCACCATCGACGCCACGGACCGCCTCATGTTGGACCCCGCAAGGCCGCCGCCGGCCAAGCAGAAACCGAGGCCGCAGCGGGGCGCCGTCTTCTCGCGGCGGGAGAGCGAGCAGGTGGAGGGGACGCTCGTCCGCGGCGCGGACTAGCGGGAAGAGGACGGCGAGAGCATTGCCAGCGCGGTGCGGGGAGCCGCCTATTGTGGAGCCCCGGGGGAGTGGAGGCGGTGGCGATTTTGGTCCTGTCTCGATCTTGTTCTATTTGGTATATATTGATCCTGTCTTTTCTCGTTTGGGTCTCGAACTCTCTGATTTCTTCTTGGTTTATTTTGGTTCTTCTCCATATCGTGAGGACTCCTGATCTGTCTCGTTTAACCGCCTACGTGGACTCATGCTAGAAGAAAACAGGAGACGGAGACAGCCCGAGCGCACCATGGTCACGCGCCTGGCTATGGCTTTGGTGGTCCCCTTCGGGCTATCTATGCATGCATCCATGCATTGATTCAATCCCGCTAATTCCGCGTGGCTGTGGTTTGCCTCGCACATCTAACTGGCTCGTTAATCACGCCGTGACTCTCGTTTCTCTCTTCTCTCTCCAGGCGTCTCGATCTGGATCTCAGAAAAGTGCACGCACGGCGGCTCCTCCCATGGATCCTCCCACAAAAGTGCACTGCACAGCGCCTCCTCCCGGTGGCGGCAGCGTCGAGTCCTCTCCAGTCCAAGCACCGGCGGCGGCGGCTCCTCCTTCCATCGGTAGCAGCCGCGGCTCGTCCTCCCCCGTGCGCCCTCGCCTCGCGTGGATGTGGTCCGGCGTCGGCGCGGCTCGACCCGCACGCACGGCTCCCCGGCGGCGACGCTCACCGCCTCTGGGGCGCCGGCCCTCCATGGCCACCTCGGGATCTCGACGGCAGCGCCCCACGGCCCCACGTCCTTTTCCACGGCGAATGGGGCAGCGGCCTCCTGCTTCCTATGGCAGCGCTGAGATTCGCCAGCACCCCATGCTCTATCCGCCGCCGTACGCGACCGCTGCAGAACTCGCTCCGTCCGCTGCCCTCGTAACCCATTCCATCCATCGGCGGTCAACCTGTCGCCTCTGGCCACCACCGAGCTCTTCACGTCGTTCGTTCTGCCGTCGTACGTCGCCGACCAGTTCATGCTCCCCTGCGCCCGTGCGAACCTCCCGGAGGAGCCGAGGGAGTCGTCGCCGCCGCCGGTGGCCCCGTCCTTGCTGACCGCGGCTAACGCCACCACCATTCTTCTTCCTGGCGTTGCGCCGGCGCTGCTTTGGCGCGCTGCCGCCGGAGTAGAACTGTAGAAGGCGTCCGCCGGCGTTGAGCACGGCGGCCACGCCGGAGAGCTGCTGCTTCTGCGGCGGCGGTGGGAGCGCGACGGGGAGGAACGCGGTGAAGCGGCGAGATCATCGGTCGCGGCGGTCATAATGTAGAATTCTTGTAAATATTATTGGTGAAAATTCTAGTAAATATTGTGAGTATTGTTGTAAACAGAATTCTCGTAAACATGTAACTTTCGATCATTCTTGTTAGTTTTTGTCGTCAACCATAATAAAAAATTATCGTAAATACTCAATCCATCTCAAATTGTAAGACGTTTGACTTTTTTGACACCAAGTTTGACCACTCATCTTATTCAAAAATTTGTGCAAAATATCACTTCTTTCGTCGTGGCTTGGTTTATTAATAAAAGTTCTTCAAGAATGACTTAAATTTAACTATGTTTGCATAAATTTTTTGAATAAGACGAGTGGTCAAATTTGGAGTCAAAAAAGTCAAACGTCTTACAATTTGGAATGGATGGAGTACTTATATTCATAGTACCAATTTTTATCGTAAATATCAATGCAAGTTATGTCAATAGAGAATTCATAATATGGAATTGTGGTAGATATTATTTTTAGAGTTCAAATTTTCGTAAATATTTTTTGCCGAAACTGTCTTAAATATTATTAGTGCATGTTCTCGTAATTCACATTCAAGGTTGATTCTCGTAAACATAGTTGTCAAATTCACAAGGATAGCAAGACATAGATTATAGTAAATCACAATCAATGGCATATATTTTCTAGTAAATCATTTACTTTAAGACGATAGGTTTGTATTTGCTTTTAGTATTCTCGTAATACTTGCATGCATGGCACTAGCCGTACAGTACACCAGCATGTGTATTCTCGTAACGTAACACATCTGTACACGCTTGCATGCATGGCACCGTGTGAAGCCGTCATAATTATTCCAAATATCCAGCGTCATTAATTACGGCAATTACCTGCAGCCTGGATCCCGCATGCATGCAGCCGGAAGAGGAAAGCAGTAACGCGCTTTGGGCTGGCTGGCTCGATCGGATGGGGCATCAGGGTGCGGTCGGTTGGCCTGGCTACAAAATAAGGTATTTTGTAGCTAGCTACTGAATATCCTGCAATTTCATCTTCAGACAAATTTTCAGCAATGACCTACAGACACCCAGTCACGAGAACATCAATACTTAACACAATAAATATGCTCTCTATAAAACCAAGCAATAACACATTCCAGTACTCACCCTAAGGGCCATCTTCTTTAGTTTATTCATTGCAGAAAACTGTTTCAATCTGGTTAAAACAGCAGAATCCAGAGGTTTGTCAGGAGCCACTCCATCTACACAAACCCAGGGATGACCTGCCAAAATGAAGACGGGTCATTTGAGAGGACTTATGACAATGAATCTAGATGGACAACAGAATGTTCTATAGTAAAGCGGGATGCTTCACCCAGTTAGATGATCAACAGAATGTTTTCTATAGGTGGTAGTGGTATTTGTGCCTCAGAAATCCTATGTACTTACATAGATCTTCATGTGCAATCAATCTCTTTCTGGGATCACAGTTTAGCATCTTCCTGACCAAATCCTTTGCACTCTCTGAAATACTGGGCCAGGGATCAGATGAAAAATCAAGATCACCATTCAGAACTTGTTCAAATATCCCTTGTTCAGATTCTGCAAAAGGCAGACCAATGTCCAAAAGCATTGCAGCACTGTCAGAAGCAAGGCAAGGCAAAAAGTGCAGCAAAGGGGTAGATGTATCCTCACCATCCCAAAATGGAGGAACCCCGCTCAATAAGATATAAATTATTACACCCGCACTCCACACATCCACCTCACAGCCATAGTGTTTCTTCAGAACCTCAGGGGCGACATAGTAAGGACTTCCAACAACATCCAAAAATATTTCACCTGTAAGCATATCAAGTCAACACAGACAACACAGGAATAGTAAGTGGTATATACGGTGTTAGAAACAATAAAAAAAACAGAATTAGTGGCCATATGCTCATGTTGATATTTCATTTCTTCTTGTGTGAAGTTCAATAGTACCCTTCTTGGTGTCAAAAAGAAAGAATAAACAACTTCCCTAAGAGCACCCCAAATGTGTATTCAATTTTGGAGAGAAAAGTAGTAACATGGAGTTCAGTTGATGGCTTGATGCCTCCAAAGCTGGTTGTTTAGCGGGGCCCACAGGGGAAAATAGAAAACCTCGTCTCCCATTATCCTCATCCTCTTACTCTCTTTGTTTTTTTCGAACAAGCAGGAGATTTGCATGGTATGGCATCAAGACAGGAGAAAAGCCAAAATAGCGAGTCCAGCGACCTTACACAATGGCCCAGGAGATCTGCGCTTCTCTCTCAGCAAAATGAATCAAGGCTACCAGAAATGATTCTTTTACCAAATTGTATTCGAACTAAGTTTAAACTTTAAAGTTTGGTTTTCAGCCCTAAAACCACTACCAGACTGCTCCAATATGCTTAACAGCACTTGAGCTGCTCTAAGAATGAATCTCAGAACATGCATGACTGCAACTGTGCTAAATCTCATCCGTCAAAGTAAAATGAATGAGAATGCTTTAAAGCCTTAATTAACAGTCAGAATATAAAATCCAGGATCTGAAACGTCATTTTTTAAGTTGCACATTCATCAACACCATAGATTTCAAACAATATCACCTAGAGTGTTAAATGGCAGTGTCTGCAGTTTGGGACAAACCCAAACCATCCAGTGGTAAGAATTGGTTAACTTGCATGTGCTACTTCCTTTCTTCCTCAACTCTCATTGATTGGCGTTGCTGAGTCAATAGTTTTGACTAAACTGGTATGATCAAGCAAGTTTGGATCGAGTGTGTGCATCTGAACTCTGAAGGTTCATAGGTTGAGGAACACATTGATTGTATGTACATCTTGGCATCACCACTTCTCATAGTTGTAAAGCCCTTTTTTATAGTAGTTAGAATCTCCAAATGTATGTGTCCTACAAATGTATCCTTGCAACTTAACATGATTGCTATACATGTGTTGATATTAGTGTAAGCACCACTTTGCAGTTCGCTCACATGGGGGTCTCTACTGAGAAAATTCGCACATTTTCATGCAAATTAAAAGATAATTTTCAGTTAAACATCACAAATAACCATGCTACTATTGTGCAGAAATTAGACTTGAACTAAACCTGGAGACAACAATGCATAAGTTAATAAAACAATCATTGGATACTAAATGACCATGAGGAGATTGCAGGGTAGAGATTAATGACCATGATGCACATCTATGTGTGCCTTTTCTTTCTATTGTTGTCTATTTATTTGTAGCTTCAAAATGTAGGAATTTGATTGCAATTTCACGTTGGTACAGGGATGGAGCTCATTTTGATCAGAAGCTTCCCTCCCAGATTTATTGAATATCTGTACCCCTGCTACACAGCACCTCCTTTTAGTAGAAGTTCTTTCAAAAGTGAAAGTTCTACAGGCTGCACAAGATCTACTCAGGACAGGAACAAGGTTTCAGCATATACAAGAATCTGTAGCAGGTATGTTAGATTAAATTGGTGTGGCAGCCTAAATAATTTGACGTTTTGTTGTGGTCAACATCTACATGTTTTACAAAGCTTCCATGCAATTGCTGTCATCTATGTTTTTGCTTTTGAGTACTAAATGATGATTTGGAGCTTGCTAAATTCACCAGACAGCTAAGAGGAAATTAGCCCACGTCTTTATTCTGAAATCATCCGAAAGGGCTCACAGATAAGGACCTCTTTTTATCAGTTCCCTTCTCTTCTCTCTTTAACTGCATCTACGGTTCTCTTCAACTGCTGTTCCTGAAATGCATCAATAGCAAAAGGCAATGGCTCAAAGGGAGCTGGGGAGAATAATTACCATGTAGAAGAGCTATATACGTATAACCAACCTAATTACCTGAACAATTGAAGCTACAAATCCACAAGCTCCAATCGAACCCCCGCGAGATGGAATTCATACAGAAGCTTGGTCGCAACAGTTGAACAAAGTGCAACTAGAACCATGAAGCCAGTGGGCGGTGGCGCTAAACTGTGGAACTGCTATATGCCTGGTGGAGCAGGACACCAGCGCAATTATTGCTGGCTTACTGCGGAGACAGACATGAATGCAAATCCTGTAAGACTGGATTGGCAAATTTCAGTATAGAGAAGAGGTCCATCATTCTTTCCATCAGTATCTGCAGACCAGCATTTTAATTCCTGATGTCACCATGCAAACAAAAGGTTTTGCAAGAGAAGAAGGCACATATAAAAAAATTTCCAGCAAAATATGTAGTAATGGAACCAAACATTCTGATGGTCTGTCAGACAAGACAATAAAATTTCAACTTGTTCATTACTTCATCAAAATTCATAGGTAATATCAGATTAATCCTTAATAGCAGAGTCAGCAAAATTAATAAAAGATTTATGCACAAAACACTAGAAATGCATGTTTGGTGATGAAACAATGGCTAACTCACCCGTCTGCCGCTATGTTAGACTTTAAAACCAAATTGATTAACATAGACTGAATTGAGAAATAACAGATTCAAATATACTGCAATTAACATGGACTGAACTGAGAATGGGCAGATTCCAATATACTACAGTTGACAGCAGCATGAGAAACTAAACATACAGAAAAATAACAGTTTATGTCAAATGTACTCATTATGGTTAGGCACATGCAAAATCATCTAGATCGGCAACCTCAACTAAGACTTACAGTTCCAATCAGCAACATGTGAAGCGGTGCTTCAGTAGCATAAAACGCACCAATCAAATCGAATACAATTGCAACACTGTTAGTTTAATTGATAGCATAGAATCACCAGCAGCAAGATGTGATAATAACTAACATTGATATAGGAATCACAAGTTGATACAAAAGGATTGACAACATAATAATGAGCACTTCATAGGATCACGCAGACATGGTACTACTCCAACTTAGGGTATCTGGAGAACACAAACGCTACTACAACTTAGGGTAGCTGGAGAACACAAACGCTACTACAACTTAGGGTAGCTGGATCACAGACACAATACTACTCCAACCAAGCTGGATCTTGGACAACCACAGGCTACTTCTTGTTATCAAACCCCTTTGCCTCCTGTCTTGTTCTCCACCGTCTCCTCCTAGTCACCGGTGACCTTGTTCGCTCACCACCTTTTCTCCCGTCCCCTCGTCCTCGTCATCGGTGACCTCAAATTCATCCTCCGCGTAGCCCATGACTCTGTGCTGCTGGATGAGGGCCTGCTCGTAGCTGCGGACCTTGTCATTGAGTAACCTTACTCTGTTATAGGCTTCGCGGAATTCCTGGGGTTTGTCGGCAAGGTCTTTGTCGGAGAGCTCCTGGACAATATTAAACGGCTTTGCTATAATTGAGTCGATGACATCCTGCGGCACCTCCTTCTTGACCACCTTCTTCCTCTTCTTCCCGACCCCGGCCGGCTGCGCCTTCTTCGCCGTCGGAAACAAGAGATCCAACGCCGCCATCGCCTCCTTCCTCTTCTTCAGGATCTCACCGCCCAACGTGCTCGCTTCCTTCAGCTTGAGTCCAAGGTCACCGCCCTCCGGCGCGCTCGCCTCCTTCCCCTTCTTCCCGGTCCCGGCTGGCTGGGGCTCCTCCGCCGTGGGGTTCTTCAGGATGTCAACCCCCTCCGACGTGCCCAGCTCCCCACTCTTGAGGCCATGGTCACCGGCCTCCATCGCCCGCGATCGAGCCCTGATTTCTCCCTCTCGAAACAGCCCTCTAGATCTGGATAGCGAGGATGCGGCGGCGGCTTGGACAAGGAAGAAGAGAAGATTAGAAGATAATGGAAAGGGAAGGAAGGGATATATTGTGGCCCAGAACTACCCTGAGCGCTATCTGATGCAAATGGGCTAGGCCAGATCTAGCCAAAGCCCAAATCTCTTTGTTATTAGTACTGTTACTATTATTGTTACTACTACTATTATTATTATTTATTTTTTTATTATTATTATTATTATTATTATTATTACTACTACTACTACTACTAGCAATGATGCCGGTGCATTGCAACGGGAGCATGATTTATCGCATTGTTGCTGGCACGAGCGCGGCTACATGGTGAAGCTTGGGCAACGGTGTCCATGACTGCATGCACGCCTAGTGTCACCAGGCACGACCAAGCGATCTAAGACGGTGGTGCGCTAGCCACGAGAACGCGTGGCTAGCACTGCACAACAACGCGATAGGGTGGCACGACGCCCATGTGGATGTGGCTCTAGTGATGGCTGCACTTGGTGGAGATCATCCTAGCAAGGAGTTGTTGGATCACGTGCAGATCAATTGATTGCTCCACCGTTAGCCTCCCAGCAACAGGTCCTTATAATTTCAGTTTGGTTGATGCCTCCTCTATCTTGCCCGTTGCAATAAAACATATAACTTACGTCATATTTGTTCTAATATTTAGTTTTTAATTAGTTAGTCTTTTTTGGAACAGTTCTTAATTAGGTAGTCTATGCAATCCTCCTTCGTTAGGTTTTCGATACTTCTATTTTTTTATGAGGAGATTTTACGTTAGTATTTAATCCATCAAGTGCTCTTCATATATGGACCCCATACGTCTAGGCTTTAGGTCTACAGCTGATTTTTGTTGTCTCTCAATGTTGAGCCAAATTAATTGGGCTTTAGCTAGCAAAAAAAAAAAAAAATCCATCTCACTGAACTGTCCATCTACTTCCCTCACGATACTCCAGATCGAGCCTCCCTCCCGATCGTCACTCTTCGCGCGACCCAGCGTTCATACGCCGCCGCCCGCCTCCTCCTCCTCCTCCATGTGTTGTATTGTATCTAGACTCCGACTTCGTTGTGAAATCGATCCGTTTGTCTCAAATTCATTGTCAAATCACCATCGGCACATGTAGTCAGGGAGGGAGGGCCAGACCAAAATAATGGTACAAAAAAGAGAAGGGTATAGAATGGGCCGGTGGATTTGAGCTGTAATTTGTCTTTCGTGTGTATATTGTATCCTATTCGTTTCTGGCTACCCGAATTAAAAATTGTCTTCGTGTCATTTGATACATGGACTCTCACAGTAAACGCAGTAGACATGAACTCTGTTTTGAGTCTCCACTAAAAAAGCAGGATCTGTAGTCTACACCGAAAACGCGTAGAAGTAGTAAGAGAGAGGCCATACCAAAAAAAAAAAGGGGAGGAAATTTTGCCTCTTTATTATTAGGTATAGATATATATTATTATGTCTCATGGCCTCGCAAGCAATTTGAGAGTACAGTAGTACGCATAGGACGTGGAGTTTATGGGTTTTGTTTTTTTACAATATATTGGACATCTTTTTTTTTCATATATAGAAGTAAAAAGTCAACTGAATTGGATTAAAAAAACACTCAACCGAATTTTCATTATTTTAGGTATCCAAATTATAATAATCATGTGTGTTTTTCTAAGTTAATTACATTCCTTGTGACAAAACGATATATCCAGACAGAGTGTTCTACTTGACACGAAGGATTATATGTTTTAGATTTATTGTTCCAAAGATTTAACGGTGTCATTTTTTGGTAGAAGGCGATGTGTCCATCAACAGCGAGCCAAATGTGATGGCCTCAATCTCGCAAAGAGCCAGCTCAATCATATAGTTATTATGCTCAGAAGAGCAAGGTGCTTATGTGTGCGGTTGTAAAGGTAAATTTGGAACTACTAATTAATATTTTATATGCACTCTTAAAAAGGTAGGATGTGTGTAAATGTGATCATAGAGTTAATGTGCTAATGGGTTCATGACCATGCGTACTATGATTTGGGAAAAAAAATCACATCTCTTTGGTCCTTTTCCTTAATTTTTTCTATTAATCGAGTAGTAAATAGATACGGCACCATGTGAATCAACATAAACATGACTTTTACATTCTAATTTTTTTTACAAGAAACAACCTATATATATGTTGTTGTGTACGATTTTTAGAAATTTTTGAATAGATTTACTATTTTCTATAGTTTAAATGAATTTCTACGTGCTTGTTAAAAGTAATTCCAAATTGAACTACCGGTAGCTCTAATTAGACCAAAAATTCATAAAAATATAATTTGGACCACACATTTCATTGAAGCAAATATCTTGGAGTTAGACGAAAAAATATTATTTTTTGCTAGGGATAATTCATAGTTCTATCTCCAAATCACCATAAGACAACTATAATAATAATCTAAACTTTGTTATAAAATCTTACAAACCTGTATTACAACATGGCTTTGGTGTATAATCGTTGGATAAAAAATCAAATGATTTAATCAAAGTGGAACTATACATTGTTCATAAATGGATACGTCTCTCACATAGTTATGTAAGTATGTGAACTATGTGAGAGATTTCTTCATTTGTGAATAATGTATAGTCCAACTTTGTTAGTATGATCTAAAAATTTTATGTCAAGATAGTACAACCATATTATGATCTCATACCAAATTAGATATCTTTAAGATATTATTATTATTTTTCTATCGGAGTCACCAAAATACTTATAAGTGTTTCCTTGGGTGTCAGCCTTCAAGAAAATTTAATAACCGCCAAGGAAATGATAATTTACTTGACGGTTTATAATAACACCCAAGAAAATTGGTCTTTTCCTTGGCAGTTAAGAATAACACTCAAGGAAAATGACTCATTTCCTTGGAGGTTATTAGAAACCGCCAAGGAAACACCTATATTCCTTGGCGGTTCACTTCAACCTCTAAGGAATATATGTTTCCTTGAGTGTGGAGTAGCACCGCCAAGGAAACTGCACTTTCCTTGACGGTTTGATTTTGGCCCCAAGAAAATTCTGGGCCGCCAAGGCAATTCAAGTTTCCTGTAGTGAACCACATGTCATATTTATGTTTTCAGTATATTATTTCAATTAGTAAGCTCATGTTTCCTTAGTTCATTAGTTATTGTCCACTGCATTTTGCCTTATTGTTAGTTCTGGACTTCTGTGCTAAATAAAAGAGTATCTATTTATTCTTGCTTTTTTTGTGCAAAATGTCATATTGTTTGGTCTCTGTGAAAGCAAATTATCAGTGTTAAACTTTGTTGTAACAACTTTTGATAAAATGAGGCTTAATTGTGAACTTACTCCTGTTAGATTTCTTTTTTTGTCCTTGCTTCAATCAAGTGTGGCCTATAATGATTGACTCGATGATGATGATGGAGTGGAGCCACAAATTGAGGATGTCAACGAATACTACTTTGAGGATGGTGACGGGAAACCTGTTTGTTTCAGTACTGTTGACACCGTTTTTTTGCACGTGTCAAGATGATCAGAGTGGGCTAATCGGCAGGTGGAAAGTTACTGTGTACGCTGACAGCCGATGAGGATCAGCTTGTAAGGATGGTTGCCGATGAATGGTAGTGATCGATGGAAAAGTTGATTTACTCGGGCGTTGCCGATAAGGTTGGAGATATTATTGTCGATGCCGATGAAGGAAGGCTTGAAGACTACTGCCGATGAAACAGGAAGTATGCCGATGGAAAGGAGGTCGGTGAGATTTCCATCGTAATTGAGGCGGACAGGGAAATAGATAGGAGTTGATTTCCTTTTCTATATTTGTTAGAGTATGATTCATGTAAGAGTCACGTGTTTCCTTAGATATGGGCTTGGTGTCCTAGTTGTGTTTGGTTGTGTCTCTTTAGATCAGGGTATAAATATGGAGTGAGGGGCAATGTAATAAGATATATCAATCAATATCAAAACCAATTTTTACTCCTATTTGCATCTACTTACTTTTCGGCGACTTCGTCAATTTGCATATTTTTTCTTTTTACGAGTTCTCATTGATTCGGCGAGTTGCATCGCTTCAGTGCGACCTTCGGCGATTCTCGAGTTCCGTGTGAGTACCTCTTGGCCGTGACTTCCGGGCGTATCGCTGTTGTCAGGACCAAAGTGCTCGTATCTTCATCCTTGTCGATTAACGTGTCAAATCGACCGCACGCTTTGATATCGATTCGGTATTAGCCCTTTGTGTTTGCAGATCCACTTTTGCATCAACACATCTTTTGGCACGCCTGGTGGGACCAATCAATCCGATCAATATGTTCAATTCCGAGATCGATTCAGGGAACATTATCGCGGTATCAGAAGAAGATCTTAAGGAAGAGCGTATGCGGCTATGGAAAAGGTCAGAAGAATACAGCGACTTTATCTCAAATCATTTAGCTTTGAACAAGAGTGGACAAGTCATCCGTAAGCAAGATTTGCCGTTGCCTCGGCAGTTACCTTTGACTCCAATCCTGGTAAACTTCAAGAGATGGTTAATTCTGCGAAGAAATCATGCTTTGATTAATCATTCCAATGTGCTGTCCAATACCGCTCATAATCGTGGTTCGAACTCTCAAAGAAGGACAAGCGTCACCGCATTACGTTGGGCCCGCCTATCACCAACCGTAGCCAGCATCATCAAATACTCCATCGGCTCCTCGGCCGTTGTGGTACGTGTTACTTCTCCTCCAAAGATCGGCGGCGAGCTTACCTAATATTCAATCTACACCGATACGATCGGATCGTACTACTAGGAGGACGAGTTTAGCTTAATACGATCTATCTATCGGCATCATCGCCTATGTTCGCCCTGTGTCTCGTAATAGCCAGATTTCGCTGGGTGGTGGGGATATGGTATGCCTCCGAGTCATCTCGCTTTCAATCTCGGGTTACCGCAAGTGTTTGATGCATGGAAAAGCTCCTATACCATC